GATTTGTCTATCACAAAGGAGTACCGTCATTTGGGGATCTGTCTATCACCAAGGAGTACCGTCATTTGAGGATCTGTCTATCACCAAGGAGTACCATCATTTGAGGATCCATCTATCACCTAAGAGTACCATCATTTATAGATCTGTCTATCACCAAGAAGTACCATCATTTGAGGATCTGTCTATCACCAAGCAGTACCATCATTTGTGAATCTGTCTATCCCAAGGAGTGCTATCATTTGAGGATCTCTCTATCACCAAGAAGTACCATCATTTGAGGATCTGTCTATCACCAAGGAGTACCATCATTTGTGGATCTGTCTATCACCAAGGAGTACCATAATTTATAGATCTGTCTATCACCAAGGAGTACCATCATTTGTGGATCCGTCTATCACCTAGGAGTGCTATTATTTGAGGATCTCTCTATCACCAAAGAGTACTGTTATTTGTGGATCTTTCTAACACCAATGAATACCGTCATTCGAGGATCTGTCTATCACCAAGGAGTAACATCATTTGTGGATCTGTCTATCACCAAGGAGTACCGTCATTTGATAATCCGTCTATCACCAAGGAGTACCATCATTTGTGGATCTGTCTATCACCAAGCAGTACCGGCATTTGTGAATCTGTCTATCACCAATGAGTACCATTATTTGTGGATCTGTCTATCACCAAGTGGAACATAAAAGGCGATCACTAATGGCCTAATGTATTGCATGAGACGACTAGTTTGGAGACTTCTGCAGAGCTTTTATACCACGTCGGCTTAGGGAATAAAGTAGAAACAAATTAATGACGTGCTGCCCAATTTAAAAATTATAACCTCAGCCTTTCCTTTCTTATCTTTTTTCACCTTTCTTTTTCATGATAGTGTATCCCGAACTATGTAATATGTGGTATTGGTAATTTATCCATGGAATATTGTTGTTTAAGCGAATATATATTGACGAATCTAGTGAGACATAACGGCGTATATTCCAGTCCTTCATTGATATTTGTTGGTTTTTTTTGTTAAAAACAGCAAGTGACAGAAGTGGGTCAATTCGAAGTTAAACCACCAAAAATGACCACTCCTGTAGCTGACCCAAACAGCTCCACCACAATGATGCCAAATTACACCGAAGCACAAAGTAAGTGATTAAGTATTTTAGCTTCTGTGAAATCCACCAAACTTATAACTTATGAAGTGAAAGATGTGATGTATTTTACGCACCTCTCCCTTTGTTTCAAAAATGTCGAAATTTACCTTCTGAAAATAGCCGTCATTAGATGATTGAGAAACACAATTACCGTGACATAGGTTCCTGCCTGTCAATTCCACGGAAAGATGTTTATCGTGCAGTGAACAAAAAAAAACTGCCTAACAATATTTACAATATTTACAAGGCAGATGTTAACAATGAAAAAGATAACCTGTCTGAACTGTGCAACTAGAGCACACCAAAGTGTCAGCAAAACCATGACGTGAGCTCAAAAGTGATAAATCTAGGGCAAAATTTGCATAAAGGAATTATTTACATGGAGACCCTACGATATATCACACAAGGAAATACGATATATCACACAAGGAAATACGATATATCACACAAGGAAATACGATATATCACACAAGGAAATACGATATTTTCCCATGACATTATGATGGCAACCATAAATTTGTTCATACTAGTAGTTGTCATCAATCTATGTACTTTGAAACTCTAATTTGTAAGCTTGTCCATCAGAAGTCGACATTACTTTCAAGAGAATGAAAGTTTACAATAACATGCTTCCTGTACATGTTAACGTTCTCAAAGACCCCTGACTAAAGACAAGCTGGGAACAACACGGCACAGATAACCTACATTAAAGCTTTAACAATAAAACATTCCTAGGATCAGGTGATTAGACATCTAATAGGAAACCTGAAGTTATTTTTTCTATAGACTAAATCACTCGGTTTCAATTTCTACAGGTTTTTTTGTGGACGCTCCATACGTAAACGGAGCGGCGGAAGGTATGAACACTCTCGGTTTAGTCGTCTTCTCCATCTTCTTTGGCTGTATCCTCCAACAGATGAAGGGTAAGGGCAAACCTCTCGTCGACTTCTTTGAATGCCTTCACCTTGCTTCCATGAAACTAGTGACCTTAGTTATCTGGTAAGTATACATAAAATAGATCTGCACACTAGCATTATAAAGGTTGTTCAATGTTGGATTTTTGCCCTTACAAAGGAAAGCTTTCTTTAAATTTTATTTATGAATGTGAAGGATTTTAGAAGTGTTTTAACCTAATAACGTCATAAATGTAACGATGATTGGTATGTTTCAGTAGCTGTGTTTTACTCACGATATGATGACTTGTATCAATGAGCGCCGTATCACACATTCGGTCCCATTAAAACAACCTTGGTCGCAACACAGATACAGTCCAATTCATATGAACCTCCTTTTATATTTGTTTGATAGTAACGCTGCAGTGTGCTTATCTTGGTACTAAGACAGTTATGCTTACTTGTCCGTCTACTTCTACATGAAATTATAAACAATTATAGACTTTTGTGATGGTAATTATGATGTGATGTGAACCTCAATGTCACCATCATAAAGTCATTTACTTATACTTTGATGTTAAAATCAACAAAACATATCTAAAGTGTTTTGATTTTTATGTCTCGAGTTTTTGCTAGCGAGTAACATGTATTGGATGCGGACAAAAGCTTCTTACAGAAATGTCGAAAAGTGAAGGGCTTTAAGCAAAGTGGCCATGTTAAACAAGTTGTCATATATATCAAATATGTCATTTTCGGCCAAGATGGCGTCTAAAACATGAAAATACTGTTCATATATTACTTTTGACCAGGACCTTCAGTATCTCAATGAATATTGAATATGAGCATTGCCGGAGCATTTAGTAAATACCATGTTTGTTACAAAATCTTTAAGGTTTTCACCAATCGGTATCATCTTCCTGATTGCTTCCAAACTGGTAGCTATGGAGAGGCCTGAAGACATCTTTGAACAGCTCGGCTATTATATGGCGACTGTGCTGACTGGTCTTGGTATACATGCGTTTATACTCCTGCCCATCCTCTACTTCATCATTGTCAGGAAGAATCCGTATAGATTCATGTACAACATGTTGAAGGCCCTGTTGACAGCCTGGGGAACCGCGTCAAGGTAAGAACTCATTTCTTGCATTTGAAGATGACAATATTTCATACATGTTTAAATTAAGACAGGAGTCACTGTATTGTTTTGAGACTATTTGTAGACGTTGATACTTTATTATCTAGTTCTGTATAGTTCAGCTGTTTTGTGTACCTGTGTTATATAATTAGCAGTTAGTATATATTTGACTTGTTTATATAATTAGCAGTTAGTACATATTTGACCTGTTTTTTGTACCTGTGTTTTATAGTTATCAGTTAGTGTATATTTGAACTGTTTTTATGTACCTGTGTTATATAATTAGCAGTTAGCATATATTTCACCTATTTTATGTACCTGTGCTATATAATTAGCAGTCAGTATATATTTGACCTGATTTTGTGTACCTGTATTATATAATTAGCAGTTAGCATATATTTCACCTGTTTTGTGTACCTGTGTTATATAATAAACAGTTAGTATATATTTGACCTGATTTTATGTACCTGTGTTTTATAGTTATCAGTTAGTATATATTTCATCTGTTTTGTGTACCTGTGTTATATAGTTATCAGTTAGTATATATTTCATCTGTTTTGTGTACCTGTGTTATATAGTTATCAGTTAGTATATATTTCATCTGTTTTGTGTACCTGTGTTTTATAGTTATCAGTTAGTATACATTTCATCTGTTTTATGTACCTGTGTTATATAGCTATCAGTTAGTATATATTTCATCTGTTTTGTGTACCCGTGTTATATAATAAGCAGTTAGTATATATTTGACCTGATTTTGTGTATTTAGTTCTGCCACATTACCAATAACAATGGAGTGTCTAGAGGATAACAACCACGTGGACATCCGTGTTGTCAAGTTTGTGACCCCCATCGGCGCTACAATCAACATGGATGGTACAGCCCTGTATGAAGCAGTAGCTTCTATATTTATAGCGCAAAATATTGGAGTTGAGTTGGACATCGGTCAAGTTATAATCATAAGGTAAGGTTACACATTTTCAAGTTATACTTGACTTCAAGGAAAGGCCATAAATATACATGATAACATAGAAACGTGGTAGTGAGTGCAATGTGTTCGGAATTGATCGCTCTTTACAAAGATGACAGAACTACACGCTAGCGTCTGTCCGTTAGATTGGTACTGCCAATAGATACACTTTCTTGTAATCAGGACGACAGTTGGAACATACAGAGAGAAAAAAACCATCAGTATTGAAACTTAATCAAGTTCACTGAACAACAGAAGAGGATTAATATAAGATTGAATATAAGTATTTTTTAGGCTTACATAAAACAGAAACTTCATAATGCAAGTATCAAGGCATTTGTCAAATATAATGTTTATATAAATCTTTGAAATGATGCATTTATTATGACAATTATTTGAATCTTATGTGTTTCCTTCCGTCAATATCCCCAGTTTGACATCCACTGCTGCCGCTATTGGTGCTGCTGGAATACCACAAGCAGGTCTCGTTACCATGACAATTGTTCTCTCAGCAGTTGGCTTACCTATTGACGAAATAACCCTCATTTTGGCGATTGACTGGTTCCTGTAAGTTTACATTTTGCAACTTGAGGTTTTTAGTTTTTTTAAGCATAAATGCTTTGCACTTTAATTGTAACTGAAATACTGAAGCATTTATTTGTACTGAATGTATAGAAATGATAGAGATATTTAAACAAAAGAAAGCTGATGTAAACACTTTTGGGAAACATTTTTATTGACCAATTTGGGTTAAAAACCAACATCATAAGAGGTACTCTTTCCATTCATAGGGACCGCTTCCGAACCGCCGTGAACGTTCTGGGTGATTCCTACGGAGCTGGGATCATTGAACATTTATCACGAGAAGACATGGGCACTTCCTCTGCTTATACTCTAGAAACCGGAACTAACGGTTTTGGCATGGAAAATGACTTCCATGGATCCGACAATCCAGTTTTTACAAAGGACGAAATCCCTACAACCAAAATGTGATCGTAATCCGTGTTTGTTTTGGTATCATTTACCACAGTAGCGTGTAAACGTGAACAACATTATATACTTTTATCACATAATTCACTGTGTTATCCAGTGAATATACCCATGTCATATTTTTTACGTATTAACCTATGAAATATGACCCATCAGCCCTGTGATTGGTTGTAAGTTTCAATTGTTTTAATTGTGACGTCACGCCTTGCATAAGTAGACTCACACACTGGAGTCTTAATGGCGGTTTTATTTTACATTTCAAGGTTGCATGAAAATCGGCGTTTTACACGAATAAATGCCACAAATCTTGATTTTGTGATCAATAGGATCCTTTATATATATATATATAATTTTTTTTTAATTTTCCAAAATATAATATTTTCTTACCAAAGATTCGAATATCGAAAATTGTTATTCGATGAATTTGAAATGTTTATTTTTGGCAATATCATAGTGGTATGGTGGTTTCCAAACAATATATCACAAGATGGATTGTAACCATTATTTAAAAATCAATAATTGTTTAATTAAGTAATAATATCATAAAACATCGTTAACATGTTAATATATGTATATAAATCAGAAATAATCTATGATTAAACTAAATCAACAAATGCAGTGAATTTTGCGAAGAAATTAGGCTATATGAACATGGGAAACGAAATCAGCTCCTATCTGTATTACAGGGGGACACTTGAAGCTTCTGCTAGGGTCATTGATAGGGTTATTGATAGGGTCATTGATTGTTTTATAGTATTTACATGCTTAGCTCTAGACATGAATAACAAAGAATAGAAGTTATTACGAGGATAAAAAATTCCGTTCAGCATATGCCAACACAAATTATAAGTATTACAATCTTACCGAAACATAGTTTATATAATACTATCCTTGTCTGCAACAGCAACAAAATGATTAAATGGATTTAATCATTAGAAATAGGCAGACAGGTTTATGTCTTCCTTAGTCTATTATTGTTATGAAATATATATTTTCAAGTGCATTGAAATTTAATAATACGATTGTCAGGAAAGATTTTTAAAGATCTTTTAAGGACTGGAATATCGATATGTATGGTTATAGAGTTGGAATCTTAGCTATTTCAATGTTATGATGCTGTACTAAATCTCCAGGATAAGGAGCTGACGCCCGGGACCATTGTGTGTTTTCGATTCCACTGACAGGCGAAGACCTGACGGTTTATTCTGGTATGATTATTATGTTTATCCTTTCATACCATGCAAATATGTATACTATATGATGGAGGGGGGATCTCAACAATCTCCGAACTGAAACAATAAGCCTCATAAATAACCCAAACCGCCCTCCCCCAGCTAGACCATTGTATGTTGATGTCTCGGTAAACAAAGGCCATGCCAGCTACCTTGATTCCTTAAATTTAACAGTCTGCTCCATTAATATAAAACATGTCCCCTGTTTCCCTCCTATGTACAACAATCGGTTGCCATCCATGCAACAGCGGCCCAGATATGCTCTGAGATGAAGGTAAAGGAGATTTTAGGATGTGATAAACCATCTTATTATGTACCAGAGTAAAAGGTTGCCTATATATGCTCCGCAAACCATTATTTCAGTACTTTAGATCATGGTTTAAGGTCAAATTATGGTAACAGTGATCTTGATTTAGGATGTGACACACTGTCCTTCCATGTTGTACCTATACACAAAGTTTGATGCCAATTAAAAAAAAGCGGCCGAGATATGCTTTCGAAAACATTATTTCAGTACTTGAAATCGAGGTCAAAGGTTAAAATGAGGTAACAATGCCCTTGTAACAACAGCAGTTGAATTATGCTTAGGAAGCCGTTATTTCAATACTGAAAATCAAGGTCATTCAAGGTCAATTGAAGTCACAGTGACTTCATTTTAGGTTGCGACACGCTGTCCTCCCATAATGACGTTAATAAGACGTGTATAAGGCATTTCATGAAATAGTGGCCGAGATATGCTCTGGAAACCATTATTTCAGTACTTGACATCAAGGTCAAAGTTGAAATTTAGGTCACAATGACCTTGTGTTTGGGATGCGATACATATATACACAAAGTTTGCTTCCCATTCATGAAACAATGTGCTCTGAAAACAATGTTTTTAGTACGAGAGGTGAAGGTCAAATTGAGATCGTAGTGACCTTGTTTAAGGATGAGATACATCACCTTCTCATGATGTACCTATATAAAAAGTGTGATGCTCATTTATGAAACAGCCTCTAAAATATGCTCTGGAAACCATTATTTCAGTAATCAAGTCAAAGGTTAAATTGAGGTATCAGTAACATTGTTTTAGGAATATAGGCAGCGCCTCTCCATGATCTTGCTATAAAGCGTTTTATGCAAATTTATGCAACCGCATACTGTATCACTAAAGCTTAAAATAGGCAAATAAAATGTCACCAATGTTCTCGTTCCACTATGATTCGTTCTTCATTCAATCGCCCTCGAGGATCACCTACCGTCAGCGTCATGGACTACATTTTGAGATGTAACTTTGTACAGTGATAATGACTGAAGTGTAGTGTCCAGTTGTCAGTTAATTGGAATGATGCAAGTGTAACATCTTGCTTTGATTAACATGTTTATGGCATGTTTTATAACTATGTTTGTAAATAAAATGGAAAGCAAAGTATTACGTGTCATTGTTCATTGAAATATTAATGGTTGTTACTCGTTTCTTATTGTCTCGGGCCACATTTATAGAGACTATATTACTTTCGTTGTGAGTGACGCTAGACATTTACTGTATTTACATGTATGTGCAGACAGCAAATATAATCAAACATTGGGACATGCAGATGATGCACAGAACTTTAGCGCCAAATGAATAAAACCCAGAATTTCGGCCACGTTGAGGTGTACAAAAGACTAGACAAGGTTGTTCAGACGGAGCATATACGTGGAGTACAGAGGACAGGCAATATTTGGCGAATATATGTTGACAATATGAATGATAGATTAAACTTGGTGACTCGCGGAATCTCACTCAGAACTACTCTTCTACCAGAAAATCAACGGAAGTCCAAATATGACCCAAATACTACCACGCGAATTAAAGTCTCCAACATACCCCTCTCCGCAAACGACAAACAAAGAAAACGAGCAATGGAAGAGACTGTTCGAAGAAGAGATCATGGAAATATACAGAGAGAAACTTCCTGTTGATGGTAAACTGACTAACTGTGATACTGAAGATCGTATCTGTATCGCCAATAAGCTTGTTGTTAACCTCCCGCGTTCCATGCAGATTTGAAAATATTATGGGTCCATCGGGTATTATGGACAACCTAGACATCAAAATAATCTGCAGAAATACTGTATAAAATGTATAACCAAATGGCCATGTTACGTGTGAATGTATCAGCGAATGGGTCTGCAATGTCTGTAACAAACCAGGACACAAACAGGTAGATCACAGGGCGGAGTACCCAGAAGATGTGACAGAGGAGGAGGAGGTTGAAGAACAGTAAGGGGAACCTACAGATGAGACAAAGGACACAAACCAGGACACAAACAGGTAGATCGCAGGGCGGAGTACCCAGAAGATGTGACAGAGGAGGAGGAGGTTGAAGAACAGTAAGGGGAACCTACAGATGAGACAAAGGACAAAACCCAGGAGACAAACAAAGACAATAGCACAGACATTACAGATGAATCAAAACAAGAAGTACAGAAACAGGACAAAACACGACAAACAAACACACTGGTAGGATACGGATTAACGACTCCTGTGAATGCCAGAGGAATATCAAAACAGAGAACCCCGCCCTCAAGGCAAGAAAGAGAGGAGTTAAAGAAAATAAACGTGCAAGAGCGATTAAAAAAAAATGCAAAGTGATGAAAATGCCAAATAATTGTCATATTCTCTCTCTGAAGACTAAGATTATACGAATGGCTAAAAACTCAAAAATTCCATATAGCATTATTGCGAGAAACGCATTTTACAAAAGACGTTATACAGGAAGTAAATGCAGAAATGTATACTTTTGGTAGAGGTTTTCATTGTTTCGGAAATAACAGAAGTAGAGGCGTGACACTTGTTATTAAATCATCCTAGTAAATAACGTTATAAATAGTAAAATCTAAATGACGGACGTTTCGTAATGTTAAATTTAGAAATAGATAAAAATATATTAACCATTTTAAATATAAATACACATAATATTGAAACACAAAGAAACATTAACATTAAAAAGATTAACATAGAAATTGAAGACTTTATACAAGGGTTTATAGCAGTAGGTGGAGACTTTAACGAAGTACAAAATATAAAAGATAAAGACGTTTTCAGCTCCGCAAAAGATAAAAAAATACGCATGGTCTTAAATATTTAAAGAAATGCTATAAATCGCTAGACATATGGAGATTGAAAAAAAAGAAACAAAAAACAATTTACATGGAGAAGAAACAGACGTAGTGGAATTGGTTACTTCTTAATAGAGGAAGATTTTCACAGCTACTGAAGGGATTCAAGCCTCACAGAGCTTCTGGACCAGACTCCATATCAGCAAGACTGCTTAAGAAACTATGTGAGGAACTAACACCTGTCCTCACCACCATCTTCCAGTCTTCGCTTGTCTCCGCCACAGTACCAGATGTGTGGAAAATGGCCAACATCGTCCAAGTTTTCAAGAAGGGAGCCGCTCCACTGCCGCAAACTACAGACTGGTATCACTGACTACAATTTGCTCGAAGCTGATTGAAAACATCATCCACAGCTCCGTTGTGCAACATCTTGACGACGAGCATATCCTATCAGATACCCAACACGGATTCCGAAGGCGCTCGTGTGAGACGCAACTAGTGAAGACCATTGACGACCTTGCCGAAGGCGTGGATGCTGGAAAACAGATGGACATCATACTTCTGAATTTTTTCTAATGCCTTCGACAAGGTCCCACACCAACGACTTATTACCCAACTCCACCATTGCGGAATCCAGGGGAATCTACATGCATGGATTGGGAACTTCTTAAAACAACAGGAAGCAACGAGTCATCGTGGACGGGAGCCGATCATCGGAAGCGGACATATTATCAGGAGTATCCCAAGGCACCGTGATTGGACCCCTACTCTCCCTGTTGTATATTAACGACCTACCCGAACGAGTGAATTGTTGGATTCGCTTATTTGCTGACGACTGCATCATATACCGACCAATCGGCTCTGCCAAAGACAGCGCCAACCTGCAGGACGACCTCAACTCTTTCCATCAGTGGGCATGCGACTGGCAGATGACTTTCAACCTGGACAAATGCGTCGTCACTCACATAACACGAAGAAAAAACAAGCGGAAGACCATCTACAATTTGAACGGTGTAAATCTTGCAGAGGTCAAGAACACCAAATACTGCGGTGTTTTCATCAATAATGACCTCTCCTGGTACGACATCATCAGTACTACCTCATCGAAGGCAGCGAGATATGTAGGTTTCCTCCGAAGGAACCAGTGTGCTTGTCCTGAGGAAGACGGGCAAGGACGTATACCACTCTGGTCCGACCCATAATGGAATACGCGGTATGGGACTCCTACCAAACCCAACATACTGACAAGCTGGAGAGAGTTCAAAAGCAGGCGGCGAGATTTGTGACCAACAACTACTCCTCCAGAGAAGGTAGTATGGCAGTCTTGCTGGACCATCTCGGATGGGAACCGTTGGATGTCAGGAGAGCTAGGGCCAGGGCATCATTATTGTACAAGATCATCAATAATGTTGTGGAAATCACGTTAAGCCAAAAGCTCCGTCAGGAAGATGCAAGGACCGTGGAGCCACTAGCGGCAGCCTAAGGCAAATTCAGGTCCAGACAGACACCTACCAAAACTCCTTCCTCCCCCATACCATCACTATCTGGAACAATATCCCTAGTGATATTATGGCTGCAGTCTCAGTGGAGAGCTTCCAGTCCATGTTACGACCAGTGAACCTCACAGGGAGGCACCACTGAGACCGCCAATAAACCAAGAGTTTCGTTTTTAACCAGTTTTTATCCATAGCTATATATTGGCACCAATTGTCATAAAAAAACGGAAAAAAAAAAAAAAAAAAACATTTTTATCTGGCGGTTTTCGACATGGACAACACGTCGCTTGAGCAGCACAACCCTAAGGGTCAGTTCCTGTCCAGGAAGATGATGAAAAGAAGAGCCCAAGAGGTCCTGTATCACTAACCTGGATAGTTGAGCATGGGAAAATGTTCTCAGTAGAAGTAATTTTGCAAAAGTTTCCATATATTGAGTCTCCTTGGCTACAGAAAGTCCAGACTAATTGAAAGTTAATACTACTATATCCCAGCATTCTGGTCAAATATCACCACCCATTGCCTCCTGGTATAGCAGAAGAAATCATTTAAAGATATTCACACATCTGATCTCCGAGACCTTAAAAAAGGTTAAGAAAATTTAAAGCACTCAAAAGAGGCTGTTTGAATGTTTTTAACACATTTGACCTTGAAAGTGGGTCAAGGTCATTTGTTCGCGTTAGGGTTAGAAGTTGTTTAATAGTTTTTTTACAACTTCCCTTAAGACCTTGAAAGCGAATCAAGGTCATTTATTTGAGGAAACGTCATAGCACTTCATGCCAGATCCCTACTGGCCAAGTATCACTACTCTGGGCCTTCTGGTTATTCTGAAGAAGTTGTTTAGAGGATTTTACATATTTTTCACGGTCCCAGTGACCTTGAAAGTGGGTCCAGGTCATTTTAACTGTGGAAACTTAATAGCACTTCGTGCCAGGTGAGCTAAGTAGTGCAGGGGTGGCTGAACTTTCCCCGATAAGTTTGAAAAAAAGAGGATGATAAAACATAATACTCCAACTATTTAAAAATATTGGCCGTGTCTCTTAGCAACACTGTCCCTCATTAAGTCACTTCTTCCTGCCCCCATGCATCGGGTGGATTTTAAACATTAACCTCAGTTTTTCATATGGGCCCTGCCCCTCTGCCACCTAAAAGAAACCCTCCATTTTACTATATTAAGTCCCCTTCACTCAAGGATGCTCTACACAAAATTTCATTAAAATCCCTCCAAATAAACTGAAGGACAAAGGATTTTGAAAATTTACCTGAATTTCTCCAATTGGGCCCCTCCCCTTCTGCTCCAAGGGGAGCCACACCCTTCATTTATAAAACAAATGAGTCCGCTTTGCCCCAGGATGCTTTACACAAATTTTGTTTAAAATCCTTCCAATCATACTAAGGGAAAAGTGATTTAACAATTTATTACTACGTATCCCCTTAATGGGCCTTGTCCCTCTGCCCCCAGGCGTTAACTTGTAATGATTACCTTATTATTGTAAGGCTAGCGATAGTAAAAATCCACTTAGTACATCATCTTTTTAATAAGTTCCAAACATCATGTATGTCATAAGTTACGATACATGAACAGTGTTGATTTTCGCTTAGTTTGTTTTAATGTGGAGTGTTGTAATCATGCAAAATCTAAATCATAACTTTACCAGTTAGCCTCTTTAACACTGCTGATCTACACAATATACTCAGATACGTTAAAAGCAGTTCTGTAAAATATCTTCACAGAAGAGGTAATGTGCACAAAAACTCAAGCATGTAAGAGTTATGTCCCTTCTAGTCTAGCATGTAAGAGTTATGTCCCTTCTAGTTTAGCATGTAAGAGTTATGTCCCTTCTAGTCTAGCATGTGGCCTCAGACCACAATAAATTCTACCAGTTATGTCCCTTCTAGTCTAGCATGTGGCCTCAGACCACAATAAATTCTACCATATGTTATACCAAAGGGAAAAAAATATTTTAAAACTTTGCGCAGGGTCTGGTTCCTATTTCATATTGTAGATCTATTCAAACTGAACGTACAGTGAGCTGGAAAGTACCTCATGAACTGCATTTAAGAAAGATAATTTCATTTGAATGTCACTACCCTGCATGTATAGGGGGAAATACCAAAAATCACAAAATATCACTGCGCAAGCCTCATCACTCATTGTGTCCTGCTGCCAATACAAACTTGGAAACTGTGTCAAACAAAATGTAATCACTAGAATAGGTATTGTTGAACAATTCTATGTAAAAATAACTGTACATATCTGTCATAGATCAGACAGGAAAAATCATTTAGTAACCCACCTGAAATGTCCTTATGCACTACATTCGCGTACAACGACCCGGAAGTGTTATTGTGGTCTGAGGCCATGTACGGGGCTATTTAAAGATGTACTCTTCTGAGGTTTCAATCACGTTCAAGTCTCGTTTTGATCTGGTGTAACAGGTTTTTGTAATACTTAACACATTATGAGCAAACAGGCATATGAAAAATATGTCAAAAAACCAGATGTCTGTTCTTTGTAGAACTTTTTTTACAAGAATTTTAAAAAAATAACAATTTGGCGGCCATTTTGAAAATGTGTATTAATGTGTATTTCTTGCGCTTCAAAAAGGCCAAAATTTCACCTTTTTTGACATTAGATTGATCACTTAAATTGTCATTGTGTCGCCATTTTTAATTGAATCAGGTCCAATTTTGCTATACAATTTTATAATGTTTGATATGATAAAAATAATATGCAACAAACTGGAAAATTTTACATTATTGATATTTTTGATTATTTCTGAAAAAGGTAAAAAACTAACACAAATGATAATGGGACAAAAAAAAAAGCACAGAGACCCCCAATTTTTGTGGATGTTTTAGAAAGAGAAACACATTATTTTTTTTAAATTCATTAAATATTAAAAAATGTTTAATAGCAGAACTTTTAATATCAAGCTTTCAATCTGCAAAAAAAGGTAAACAAAAGAGTATTTTTTCATTAAAAAATAGGGGGTAAGGGTAACTAAAATCGGCTTTCTGAGTTAAAAGAATAAGATTAAGAAAGTTTACTTCCATAATTTAAAAGAAAATAATATTTTCATCAATTCTACAAACATTTATACTAACCCTAACCTTAACACACTTGGAAGAAATTGTATGAATTTGTTCTGCAAATGGTCAAAACCCAAAAAATCACCTAAAATCACATGTTGTGTTAAATTGGTTTCTTTGACCGATCATGTCAAAAAACGAACACACAGACATTTTTTTGCATTTTCTACTATACCATTAACTCCTTTTTCCAAAAATCCATATAAGATGAAAAGTTTAATACAGGAATTTTTTGACTTTTCAGAGGTGTACATTCTTAAATATAAACTTTATTTATTTTTACAACAATTATAGAACAAGTAATTTCAACTTATATTAATCACTCTTGTTGGCCCGGATGTTAGCATGTGTCTTAGTGTCTTAAGGGGGGTCTTAGTGTGGGAGGAAACCGGAGTACCAGGAGAAAACCCACATGGTCGGACAGATGACCCCAACCTTTTCACGTCCGATCGGGGAATCGAACCCCGGCCGCCTTGGTGAAAGGCAAGTGAGCTATCCACTGCACCACCCGACCACCCTATTTAAAGTGTAGTACATCATTTATCTACTCATACACCAGGTACCACATAAAACTTCACAGTTAAAAATGAAATGGAGACGAAATCTTTGTGTAATCAAGTTTTCCACTATGTCAACGACATGATAAGGTAGTAAATATTTCATTTCATCTTTATTCAAAAAAAAAAAAGTCATACATTGCACATATAATTATAAACTATCAAGTTATCATTTTTTTTAATCATCAAAACCTGATTTCATGTTATATGACCCTCGGGTATACCTGGAAAATGAGAAATGCTTATATTTTTTGGTTTTTCATTGAAATATTTTAGGATAAGAGCAAAAACAAGAGGCCCATTTGTCCTAAACGCTAACATCAATTCAGAGTCAATATCTGCAACTGTTTTAGTAATGAAGTTATAATTCTCATATTCCTATTCATTAAAGTTCAAGATCAGTGAGTCTCTCATGATGATGATATTTCACACATACATCCACCAACTCCACCAACATAAAATCGACTTTCAAATTCTTTCTTCAATCTTAAGCTTTCACTCCACTTTTACTTATGTCTGACAAACACTGAAGAGTGATCAGACGATGTGATTTGGTATTTTTGATGCAAGGCTATCCAAGGGTGTCCATCTTGATAACTCTATTGCCTCAAAGATTTCCTACAACAGATACAAATAGAGAAACATCAGGAAAACGAAAAAAGATCTTGAGCAATAAAACATCATGGAATGCATGTAGTATTGCATTAATGAAACCAAGGGGAATAACTCTAGTATGGTCAGATTATTACACCTACTCAACTGATTCAGGGGGCATAACTCAGTAAATTATAGTCAGACAATGGTGGTTATCAAACTCGTCTCAGCTTTCATGGTAATTAACTTTCCCCTGAAGTTTGAAGTTTATGTGTTGAAAATTACTCAAGGTATAAAGCAGACACTGTTTCACCAATTGAATAAAGGGGCATAACTCTGTAAATGATGGTCTGAGCTTTCGTTGAAAATTACACGAGATATCAAGCAGACACTGTAAAAGGGTTGTGCCTGCCCGCTCACGTGATAACATAATATGCCTTGTCTTTTGCCAGGCGTATAATAACCACAGGGCAATAGAAAGTGTATAGGAATAGCTTCACATTGCCAACATTATGGTCCCATCATAGTTTACAGAGGTGAAAGGGGTTAAAGTCTGTTCTGTAGTGAAATATGATATCAATCTGTAGAACTGGTTGAATAAATTATATTCATACCTCACTCTGTTCCATGTAGTCTTTGTTATACCTGAAGATGTCCACTTCTAATTCTGGTTCTGAAAATATAGAATCCAAGCCGAGTGATTTCTCTGTACTACCAGTTATAATAGCTTCTAATACACACCTCAGATTGATACTACAAAGCTCGGCAACTTACATATTAATATATTTGTCAATGAAGTTTGTTCAGATTTTAATGGCAAGTAACAAGTTTGACCTAACAGCTCTAAAACTTTTACAATTTTAATGATCATTCAAATTACTGCATGGTCCAACTGTTGACAAAAGGTCTAACCAAGAATTCCTCAAAAGTATACAATTGATTTCCAGATAACATACACTCCAGACTTACCTTCCAAAGTATCTATATCCTCCTCAATGCCATGCTCATGATGTCCACCCTACGACAAGACATACATGTATAGATTATGATCAAAAGCCTAGTTAACATGTTTGCTTCATTTTAGTGTATCTACAATGAATTTAATACAATACTCTATAAATGTGTTACTCAGTATAAGAGAAATATGCTAGAGAGATATGTATAACAACAAGAGTGTGAAGGGGCCGCCGTGGCCAAGTGGTTAAGGCGTCTGACATTCTGCTACCACTAGCCCTCCACCACTGGGTCGCGGGTTCGAAGACTACGTGTGACAGTCGCCAGGTACTGGCCGTCGGTTGGGTTTTTTTCTCCAGGAACTCCGGCTTTCCTCCACCATCAAAACCTGGTACATCCTTAAATAACCCTAGCTGTTAATAGGACGTAAAACACAAACAAACAAAACAAAACAACAAGAGTGTCCTGTTTGGATGGTGGAAGTTACGTACCGGGCGAGAAGTGTAGTCCTGATTGTTGTAGTAAGTGTTGGAGTTGTAGTAGTTGTAGTACGCAGCATTGTAGGGATAGTTGTGTCCGTAGTAGGGGCTGTAGGGAATACCTCCTGTCATATCCTGGGGCATGGGCCTGATATAAACCAAACAAGAGGCCCAATGAGCCTGATATAATCCAAACAAGAGGCCCAATGGGCCTCATATAAACCAAAAAAACATTTTTTTCTTTTGTTCCATGGAAGTTATATTGAACATGCCTATCTCAGTATTGCTCTAGATTTTCATGTTTCTTTTATGATTATTAACAGAATTTCTTTGAAGTTAACAGTATATCTTTGACTGGAACCAGTAATTTATCTTTAAAGTTACTCTTTTAGATTTCTTTTAATTGGCATCATTCTTATCAATGTTAAATTGTTAATGATCTTTTTTTCCTTATCATTATATTATTGTGTCTTAAAAATGTGTAACCAAGATCCTATTAAAGAGAGATACAGTTTTGTATGTGTTTCTTAGTGAAACAGAAAATTAAATCACTATGCTAGAATTTAAACTATTTGATAGCAAAAAAAAAACTATAATCATGTGCTTGAAATCAACTCTGAGGATTCACAATGGAGTGTTCCTACCTTTTCGGTGTTGCCAGACTCACACGAATGGGCTTCGTCCCAATATCTGTCATATGCTGCATTTCAATCAGTGCTCTCTGCTGGTCTGTTTCCTCGGAGAAGCGAACAAACCCGTACCCCTTACTGCGGCCGTTGTTTTCTAGTACAACTGTGTGAATGGATTAGATCAGTGCTGGATTCTCAGCTTCACATGCATCCTATTTTTTTTTAATTAAATTTTTAAATCAACAGGAGTGCAATTTCGGTCATTATAAAAGGCCAGCAAGCAAAAATTTGGGTGGGAAATAACATGTTTAGTAACTATTTTATAAATGATTAATGTTTTGAAAGCCTGTGACAATTTCTTTCCTTTACAATTAATTCCATAATTATTAAAGGTTCTTTTGATTTTTTGGTGATTGATTACCTTTAGCTGATCTACATGATCTGTATTTCTTTGCAAATGCATAATATAAAACGTAGTCATCAACATCCGTGGACAGGTCACCAATGAAAAGAGAAAATTCGGGACTGAAATAGTAAAAAAGATAAAAATGAATTATTTTTTACCTATACTGATATTTACACATACACAATTATTGTGTTTTCAGACCTATAACATATATTTATCAAGAAATTTTCTTGTTAAAGGGACAATTTGAGAAGAAACTTTTTTTTTATTTGTGTCAACAAATTCCTCAAGTTAATATAGTGTGATACTCCTTATGAAAAATTCATGTCGAGAAATTGACATGAGACAAGGTTTTTTTTGAGTTCTTTATCTGTAATGAAGAAATCCTTAACTGAACAAACATATGCTTTAGCGGCAGCTGTCCGTGAACTTTTTACCAACAAATATGTCTTTCCAGCCGGGGAGAATAGGTTAATTCTCGCTTCATTCAGCACAAATCTTAGGAATACAAGTACCAGAATTTAATCTGAATTAACGGCATCTTCCAAACAACATCTCAATCATCGCTATAAACTTATTTTAGGTTTATACCTACTCATATTGTACTTTGTGCCGTTTGAAGTTCTCTCTAAGGTACCCTCTTGAGTGTGTGCTCTTATTAAACCCGTTTCTATTTATTCGAAACCAACATTGAACACAAATACTTCATTAGATCTATATAATATGTAAATTCAAAACGACAAGGATGCGTTAATATGTGCAAAATCAGCATCACTGACACTGTGTTGTCAGTCGACAGCGATGTTAACTATAATTCTCACTGCCCGGATATTGTGTTATTCCGGTCGTAACTTTTTTTATCACCAGTTACGAAAAGAAATCACTTAGAGGTATATATTATCAGTATCTAATCAATTTGAAAGGTGTTATTTGACCAAATTGTCCCTTTAAACAATAAATGTCCTAATTTGCAACATGTTTGATATGATTGATGATTATGAGATAGGTAGTATTATAGTTTGTGTATAACACATTTCAGAGATTACACAATTTGCACTCTGTCAATTTTATTAGATGACCATCCCAGTATAACGGGATGTACCGCAGTCAGGTACAGCAGCTACCTATATAGCACAATTCCGTCTTTGCGTATTGCAGAGTTATCTTCTCTTGGGAGCAGGTATTGATTGTTACGTCACTTGTTTGTGAGAGTAACGTCATCAATTTTTGAGAAAACGACGTAATTTTCTCACACAAACCAATGACGTAACAATCAATACCTGCTCCCAAGAGAAGATAACTCTGCAATATGCAAAGACAGAATACCCAATACACCTAGTCACTGTCTCCGCAATGTGAAGTTAACAGCTAAATTAGGGCAAACTTACACTGCGAGGTGTTCCTTTCCATGGCTGGATGTGTTCAGCTTAAATCTTTTAGGCTAAAACAGTTTGAACATAACAGTCTTTTTCAGTAAAAAAACATATCTGAGTCTCACACATAGTACTAGTGCAACATTAACTAGTAAACTTTGAATAACAATGTATTTCATCCTTAACATTTGACTGATAATAATAAAATAAATTAATCCAATCAAAGAATCAAACTAATTACTATTCAAGATAAACTGATACATGTACATGAACTATATTTGTGTGGTGTGGTACACACAGGGTTACCATATGTATGTGGTGTGGTACACACAGGGTTACCATAT